GATCCGCCAGACCCAAAAATACCTCCGCGAGAACGCCAATGTGCACTTTCTTCGGCGAAACAACGCCTCCCCGTGGAGTACGTTTACCCTGGCGAACCCGCTTTTTCACCCCGATAATTCGCTGGTGTACGATCACTGGACGCACCCTGAGGTGCTGTGGTACGACGACGCCAAACTCCATCGGTGGAATGCCCACCACCCGATGAACGCCGGGGCGAGCGAGATATCGGAGCGGTATGGGGACATGGACGTCGCGCCGCATTTGCGCTGGGTGACCTGGATGCTCAGCGGGTTCGTCTTCGCCTGGGGGATTTACATATTTTTGAGCGGCCCCCTCGTCGAGGAGGACCCTCACTTCGAGAAGTGGTGCAAGTTGTTCGATCATAACCTCGCCGGCGCGATGTACGCGGCTGAGCGCAATTCCCGAGGGAAGGGGAGCTTGCCAGGGTTCGACTGGGATCGCGTGATGGGGAGGACCGAACCGAAGAAGGGTTATCATTCCTATGATATTAATTATCAGAATCCCTTGAACTACGTCGCGGCCAGCGGACCCGGTGATGAATTTAAAAATTGAGAAAGAAGGTCAAGAGGCGAAAGGGTCTTCGGGGAAGAAATTCAAACAAGCCCCAAACGGGCGCAATACACTCTAATAAGAGAGGATGCTTACTGAGTATTTAATTGAACACTTTTACCATTGACTTTCCTCATTTCTTCCTTATCTTTTCTCCAGGTGTGGCTGAGATTGGGTCATATAAGCCAGTACTCATTTAGTTGGGCATGCTACGGCGAAAGGCGTATTTTACTGGTAGGTATTATTTTACGTAGGGGTCAGGTTCTCATACTGTGCCTTTTTATTTCCATGCCAACTCAATATGGGTAGACAACTTTACCGGTAGCGATTAAATTATAGATATCTTTATTTATGAAAGCGCACTAAAAATAAAATAAAAATTTACTGCTGTCAATCTTCTGTTCTTTTTAGTTTTTATATTGTCTCACTCTATGTGTTTTCTCCTTCTGGTATTTTTCTAGAGCTTGTTAGACACTCTTTAATCGTTTATTGCCTTTAAGCAGCAACTAAAGAGTTATTGAAATTATTCATCTATAACATCAAACTAAACTTATATTTCTATAGTTTTACTATTCATATTATTTATTTTATCTCACAGACTACGAATTTCACACGGTGCAAGTTCAAGCTTTCGGAAAGACATTCCATTATTTAGTCCTATATTACTTAACCTATTAGATAATTCAATTATTAGATTTTTTTTTCTTCCTTTCTATTACCAATAGAAGGTAACATTGTACTTTCACCACGAGTCCAACCACAATACATATCTATCTAAAAATCCAAGTACATCAATCCATTTAAAGAGAAGACACACTGATATCATTGGCACGTACTACCTATCTAATATCATATACCTGTACCCTCTTGTGACAGCGTACATCTTTCTTAACATACTTATTTATTATTGTGACAACCTCTTTCCACCTCTCAATGAGCCTGTACACCGTGAGCAGTGAGAGCAGTGTGTGTGGTTCCCCATCTAACTTCAACACCGTGCGCGAGGCCTCTGTTGGACTGTTCAAGGCCACTACCCCCCCTCCTTCCACGGCGGTGCCCCACGCGAAGGCACTCCCCCCCCCCGAACGGACCTCGGGGGTCGCCGCGGATTATTCCAAACAGATGGAGGGCCTGCGTGATCGCACCAGCGCCCTTCAGCGGTATAAACTATTAGTGAATAAGGCTCGCCTGACGCCGGAAAGGACCAAGGAGAACGATCCCGCGCAAAAACGAACTCTTGAGGGGGCCACGTCCAATGGTCTATCCAACGCGGAAAGGAAGACAACTTTGACGGCAGAGGGTCCCGTGGTTGGCGCGTTTTCTGCCCCGCGTAAGGATCGACTCCCGTTGAAAGAGCGTGCAGGGGGAAAGCAAGGGGATGGGTCCTGGAAAACTGCAGATTCCGACCCCTCTTCCACATCCCGCAAGATTTTACCTTCTTCAACAAAAGATCATCTTCATAACCATTCGAATGATGGCAAGCAGCATGTGTGTGCTTCTGATAAGGAACCTCTTACCACTACTAATGGCAAACACAAACCGGTAGAGCTGAATTCTCAGCCTCTCGGCCTGCCCGAGCCGATTGAGTTCCCGTCAAATCCTAGACGTAATACCATGCGACCGGACTACGAACCCATTACGATTCGCCATAATTTGGACGATCAAATGGAGTCTTTTAATAGCCGAAGCTCAGTGTTAAAGCCCAATACCAATTTTGAGGATCCCCCACCTACCTCCACGGACGACCTGTTATCGGAGCTAAACTCCACTTTTCCAGAGATCAGTGAAAGGGAGCACCAACGGCCATCAAAGGCTCCCAAAACGAGAAAGACCTCTGCGGTGAAGCACCATGGGGATAAACCGAACGGAAAGGACGATAAAATGAATGGGTCGCAGCATACGGATTCGAACAAGGAACGCATACCTGCAAATGGGAGCCAGACCGCGTTTTGGGTTCGACCCTCGTCCGCGCTTTATGAGATGACAGCCAGCATCGGAGCCAAGCGCAAGAGCAGCGCGCAGATGGAGATTATAAGCGAGGACGACTTGACCGCGCATTCTCGCGTCGGCGCGTCGTACGGCAGTACGAATTTATCCGAGGCGTCTCCACACGAGCGTCGTCCGCAGTTCACGACTTACTTTTCCGCGTTCCGCGGCTCGACGAAGGGTGTGGATAACCGATCCTCCAAAATGTCCGTTCGTTCGTCAAACCCCGCGGCGTCGAACAGCTCTTTTGAGTCCCCTCGCGCTTCTTTGATCTCCTACGACTTTTCCGGCCTGGCGAAGCCTTCCCAGTGCAGCTCCGCCCGTTTGGCGGACTCCCGGTCCTCTCGGGCGAGCTTTATTCCCATTTCTTGCAGAAATAGTCAGGGCGCCCTTTCAAGCCAGCCCGGGTCTTCGCGGAATCGACGACTCAACACGTCGGAGTCCAGTCAAAGTTTGTTGGAGCCAACCTCAACCGCGAAACGCCCGCAAAACGGTGGGGGAAAGAGCAAGGGGGGTTTGTCGACTCGCCCGAAAAGCGAAAAAAACGACGTGCCCGCCTGCGAGGTTCCCGACGGCACCGCCCTTCAAACCATGAATTCCTCCCCGAGAACCAAAAAACGGACCATCGTCGTGAATATCAACCTACCCCAATCCGAGATGGGGGATTTTGGGCTGGATCCGAAGCCGGAGGGGCGTCCCCCGAAGGCGACGCCGGGGAATCGATCCTCCAGCGGGGTTCTCTCCCCGTGCTCCTCCTCGTTCTCCCCGAGGACTTTTCAACCCCGGGAGAACTCCCCCTCGCGGACCTCCCCCGGGCTTTTGAAGAATCGTGGGCAGGAGAAGTGGGACGCCGCGACGGCCTCGGGTGGGGTGGAGGCGGTCAAGGCGAAGGGCGCGGATGGGGGGGCCCCCGCCGCCCTCGGCCTCCCCGACGTCGACAAGGAGAACCGCGGCGAGGTCGAAAAGGGCCAACGCCTGGACGGGAATGGCGATCGGGCGGATGCCCCGGTCGCCCCCTCGGGCGGTCCGTCCGCGGGGATTATTCGCCACCCCCCTTCTTCCGCCGTCGAGATGGTTCGGTCGATGATGCAGGGGATTCTCCAACAAACGCGCTGCGTCCTGCCCTGTTATCTCTGCGCGGAGATGATCCACGCCACGACCTACCACGTCCACCTGGAGGTCTGCCGGCGGACGACGGAGGGGCTGATGAAGGAATACGCGATTCCCCCGAAGGTGTGGGAGAATATCGAGGGCCTGGCGAGCCGGGCGATTCCTATTTCCTCCTCCAGCCAGGCGGAGCGCGATGGCTTTGTGGTGGCGTGCTATCAATGCGCGTTGGGGCTTGTGATTCCGTGTCGAATATGCAGCGCGCATATTCGCATTCATGATGCGAAAAATCATGAAATGCTTTGCGGGAAGGCTTCTTATAATAATAGCAAGGCCGCGCAGCGGGTGATAAAGGCGGCAAATCATATTTTAAGGCATGCAACCAATGTAGAATAACAACTTTATCAACTACTTACGTAGACAGGAAATTCGAACTGCGAAAAATATCGTAGTGAAGCCCTCTTTCCGTAGTAAAGATGTGCAAAAAAAAATTCAAGGGAAGAGTCAATATGTACGGTTTGAGATAACTCGATCATTTTTTTTTTATTGTATCCTTGTTGATACGACCTTTTATTCTTTTAAATAGGAATTTTTTTACTTTCTCTAGGGACTCCTTGGTGTATTTAAATTGTATCTATATATATTTAAACTTTGAAAGAACCTAAAAATATTGCTTATAAGAAGAACTCGATGTTGTTAAGGGGTTTCCATCCACGCACCTTCTTTTCTTGTTTATATCCCTTAGTTTATAGTACTTTTCATACAAAACTTTTCGAGAAGCCTTTTATCCTTTGTTCAGAAAAGGAAGGGCATTTTCATATCTTTGGTCATGTAAAAGGCAAAAAAAGGGGAAAACCTTTACCAGCCCAATAAATCTCGTTTTGTGATTAAATGACGGATTCGATGGATGCGATTTCCGAGGCCCTTATTAGCGCCTATGGTCACCTCAGCGCCTTACTTCATTTGCCTTCCATTGAAAGGGAGTTTTACGAGATGTTTTTTGTAAATACACTGCAGGGGCGAACCGGCGAGGGGAAATCTTTCACCCCTCCGAATGTCAAGAAGGACCTTGAGAAGGATCCGATGGCGGTGGAGGTATTGGTAGGGGCCCTTAGTCTCATTGTGGGGGAACTCCAAGGGCATTATCGCCGGACGGTGGCCGTCTTAAAGTCCATCACCAGACGCGAGGATTTAATGTTTAAATTGATCGATGCATCCGATGCCTATGAAGGCGGGGGATGCCCTTTGGATCAGGCCCAGGTGGGGTTTTTATCAATCCTCCACGACTACCAAAGGGCGACTTTGCAGGTGGTGGAGGCTCTTACGACCTGGCGGAAGTCTCTTACGAGGCCCTATCCTTTTTATATCCATTCCTCCCCCGTTAATTACCTCGAGCAGATTTTGGAGGACGGCGAGGCCATCTCGGGCTGCCCTTTGGGGCGTTCTCTCAGTCTTCATTTTGGTCGTTTTCCGTGTGGCTCGGTGATTAATTTTCCCCGGCTTTTGCGATCCGCCCGCGCGAAATGGCGCGCGCGGATCCTCAACACGGGGGCGGTTCTACACGAAGGGGTGGCGGGGCTGCAGTTGGATCGTTTCCAGGCTTTATCGCCCCCGCATCGACCTTTTTCGCGCTTTATTTCGTCTTCGTCATCACTCCGTGAGGGGCCGCATTTTATTCCCAATTCGCGAAATGTCGTAATCGCCCCGACGGGGGATTCGGAGGCTTTCGAAACGGAAAAAGACCCGAAGCGCCGCCTCGCGGAGGAGGTGATTCTGAAAGAGCCCCATACGCAGAAATGCTTGGCAAAGGAGCTTTACGACTTGGCGGGTGCTTTTCATCCGGAGGATGTTGGGAGTTCGAAAAGATTTTTATTAACCCTTTCGCTTCCAGGGCTTTTTTTACCGCTTGATGGAAGCTCTACAACTCCGACCTTTCCTTTGGATAAAGGGCAGTGGTGGGAGACTTTACGGCAGGTGCTGGACCAGGCGCACTGCGTAGAAGTGGCGTCGCGAGCCCGTGAGCGGTGGAAGCGCCCCCCATCCCGTGTTTTAAAGGAAAGTAAACCGAATAACTCCACCACGCGAGTATCTACTTCACGGGATTCGCAAAAACCTCCCAGCTCGGGTGTGTGTTCCGATTCGGGGGATCGCACTGGGGGGGAAGCCTTGTCGTCGTCTTTACAATCGCAGTCTAGGACCCCCTGTGCACCGCGGCATTTTAGAGGAGTCAAGCCTTTGTCTGAGAAACTATTGCGGCAAACCTTGAATTCCATAAATGAGGATCTGGAGCCTTGAAATGATTAAATTGAAAAACATTCACACCAGTGGTACGTTTCTGAGCATGTTCATATGGATGGTAGAACATAAAAATCGGGTTTCTCCTGGGGGGAAAAGCCTGAAGGGGGGGAAGTAATGCTTTAAAAAAATATCATATTTTAGAAATAGAGATGTAATACATTTTTTTTCTTAGAATTCTAAACTATTTGTTTTGAGCGAATTTCAAAGCTTTTGACCAAATTTATTTATATATATTTTTTCATCACTCCCTTGACAAATGATCGGGAGGCATTCTGAGATATCTAACTCGCTATGGATTTAAGAAACAATATACATTCCTTTGTTTAACGCTGTTAGCAGATTTCACAGAAATTGACAGGCGAAGCGAAGGGGGCTAAATCTTTGGTGAAATGGAAATATATTCTACATTTATTTATTTTTAAATTATATTCTATAGTTATAGGCAGCTGCTTTTATGTGCTTACTTTTTTAGGACCATTAATTCCTCTTAACTATGTTCTTTTTTCTTATCTATTTCTATACAACTAACTGTACCGATACATTGTTTTAGATTAGCGGTGAGCGAAGGAGGAAAAGTAAAGTAAAATATCAATAGCTGGTGTTCTCTCTCTATATATTTTTAGTAGGATTCGTAGTAGTATATCATTAGCCCCAATCAATTAGAAAGGGAATTCTGAGCCGAAGTATCCAATCCCGACTTCAGAATGAGTGAATCGTCTAAGAAATTTTCGCTATTTGCGCGCCGTGAGAGCGACAACGATGGCTCCGAGTTATCTAGTACTCCGAGTATAGATTCTACCAAATCTGAACACGCCCGTGTGTCTACGCACGCCACCAGCATCGGGTACTCTCGAGGGTCAGACGCCTTTTTGAAGTATCGCCGCACTTTTTTGTCTTCATTTTTTGGATCGAATGAACCGGAACCGTATTTTGATGTCCAGAAGGAGGTGCATCCTTGCAAGATCTTCTCGAAGGAGGTGCACCAATGCCTAAACACAAATGCGAACAATTACCTCTTCTGCCAATCTCGTGTTGCGGCTTTTCAGAGGTGTATGGACGAGTATAGAATTTAAACTAACAGTGATTAGTATTTTATAGTGGTTTTCGATTTCATCTCACTTCTTCTATTCAATTTATGCCTATGCACGAGTTTGTAGCGTGAAATATGAGTCAACCGCCCAATTAGTGTTTGCTAAAAGGAAATATTATAGAATGCACTTAGTATTTCTGGTGTCATTGTTTCCTGTATTTTTTATCACCTTAGCCTTTTAATGGTTATTTATTTCCTTCTTTTGTTCTGATTTGGTTCGTTTTATAATGTGTAACCTTTTTTTGTATTCCGAGGACGGGTAGTTGGATATATTCCTTGTACGCTTTTGTCGTGGCTAAGGTAGGGGTCGAACTAGTGCCAAACCTAAAAGCACAGGAGAGACCCATTTGTCTGTTTTTCTGAATTTTTTTAAAAAATTATTGTCGTGCACATACTTATTCATATTCTACATCTGACTTCTTCCCCCCCCACGGTTTGACAACCTTGCTGGGTTACCATCCAAACCCCAAAGCGACCTTCTCGGAAGGTGGTCCCTCTTGTGTGCGTGTGCAAAGAGGGTTGCGAGGCCTGTGGTGTGACGTGTCCATTTTTCTCAACATTTTCCCCTTTTCCCCTCACACACCCCTTTTGACCCTCTTTTGTCCACCCTG